GAGCGCAATTTGGAGTTGGGCCCTGAGACATTCAGCATGGCTTATTTCAAGGTTTTCAGTTATCAGAGGTGCCACACCTTATGAACTGGCTTTTGGTCGTACATATGCTGGTGAGTTGTGCGAGTTTGGGGAGCCAATTTTTGGCTATGTGATTCCAACCACAAAAGCGACTGCCAAATGGAAGAGGATGTTATTTCTTGGGAAAGCTGACATTCAAAACAGCTATGTGGCATTTGATGGACAATCAATTCTCCTTACGAGAAGCGTGCGAAGAATCAACACTGAATGGAGAAGTCACATGGCGTATTATTTGCATTGTCGGTGTTTTTCATGGCAGTACAAAGCTGGGTTTGGAGCAAGAATCTTGCCAACTATGAGAAAACCAGTGCCCAAGTCAGTTGCGTTTGAGGTGCCTCTGGGACCAATTGAAGAAAGTGCATTGCATGACAAAGATGCTGAAGCAGTGATTCAATATGCAATTGATGAACAGAAAGCGCAGGAGGAGCAGTTGCACATGTCAGCCAATGACCCACTCAGTTTGGCTTTGCGAGAGAAACTTGGTGAAGGAGTTGCAGGTGAACTGGAAGGTATGCAGGTTGTGGATGATGATGGTCCTGCATTACCTAGTGGACCAATCCATGTGACAGCAGAGAATCCACCTTTGACCAATACTGGAGATGATATGTCAGGGGATCCAGGTCTTGCAGTGCCGGTGACACCGCCCAGGGACTATATAGAGATTGAAAGCCCTCGAGAGCCAGCAACATCTCAGGACTCTTCAAAGAGGCAACGTTTGGATGAATCAAAGAGACAGCGCATTGCCAGGTTACAAGCTGAATACGAGCAGAGATTGTGTGCTGTCAAGATTGCCTACAAAGAGTACTTCACTATAGATGATTATGAGACAGATTTGAATCTTGAACGATCAGCTGAAGAGGATGAAGACTGGGTTGGTGAAGATGCGGTTGTGCTGATTGGAATTCCAGAGTATTTGTGGTCAGACGCTCCAGTAGATCAACCCGCGCCTGGTAGTCCAGAAAAATGGATTGATGACCTTGCAGATAAGGTGGAGATTGACCGTTTGTGCAGCATGCAAGTCTTGGTGCCACAATCCGAGTTCCAAGGCGAAATCACAGGTTCTTTGACTACAAAGATGGTCAGGGATTGGCGTTTGAAGTCTTATGGAGAAGGTGAAGGTGAAAGGAAAAGATGGATGCGCAGATCCAGACTGGTGGCGCGTGAATTTGCAACAACGAAAAGATTGGACACTTTCAGTCCTGCCACTGGAACCCATACAGCAAACCTTCTGCAGTTGAAATATCTTGGAATGAAAAGCAAGATTTGTGAGACAGCATGCAAGGAGGATTACGATGTTGTTATGGGAAGCTTGGATGTGCGTGATGCTTTTCTGCAGGTTGAACAAGATGATCCGGTGCGTGTGGTTTTGCAGGGACAGCCTTTTATCATAAAGAGAAATCTCCCAGGCCAACGTCTTGGAGCAAAACAGTGGTTTTTGTGTTTGAAATCATTCTTGATGGAAAGCATGAATTTCGAGTTTTGCCCGGAGCAACCATGCTTGGCGAGGACACCTGAGGCCACGATCATGATACATGTCGATGATATCCTTTTTGTGGGATTGAAATCTTTCTGGAACAACGTTTTTCTGAAGAAGATGAAAGAGAGATTTTCAGTGAGTCATGATGAGTTGAAAGGCCCAGGATCAAGCATTACCTTCCTGAGGAGGAAAATCATGGAGGTTGAAGATGGCCTAGTTTTAGCCCCGGGTACAACGGTGGACAAGGTGGTTTCTTTGAGAGGATGTTTGGATCGGCACGATCACAGAAAGTGCCATGCGATGCAAGTATCCAGTTGCCTGACAATTCTCAAAGACTTTCAGAGAAAGACTCCAAGGGATACCGCTCAGTTGTGGGCCTATGTCTGTATGCAGGCCGTGAAAGGCCAGATTTGATGTATACCATAAAGGAGCTGGCGTCATACATGAGTGCTCCCACTTTGACGTCACTTGCACGCCTACGCAAGATGGTAGGCTTCATGAAATCTGTGGGGGACATTGGTTTGCACCTGCCATTTCCTGAAGATGGTCAAGGAAAGGTTATTTCTGGTGGACAACACCGATGGGTACTTGAGAGCTTCAGCGATGCCGATTGGAGTGCAAACAAGCAGACACGTCGCTCAACATCATGTGGGATACATTTCATCAATGGATGTTTCATGTATTCAAGCAGCCGAAGTCAACGAGTTGTATCACTTAGCTCATGTGAAAGTGAACTTCATAGTTTGGTTAGCTGCGTTTGCGATGGGATATTCATCAAGGCATGTGCTGCTTTTGTTTTGGATGAACAGTTGGAACATTTTCAGTTTACCGACTCAAGCTCAGCAAGGCAATTGGCAAGCAGGCAAGGGTCAGGTAAGGTGAGGCATCTGTCGGGAAAACTGTTATGGATACAGGAGAAGACAGCTGACAATACCTTCAAACTTCGACAGGTTCCAACTACTCTCAACGTGGCAGACATCGGGACAAAAGCTTTGAGCAGACAGAGGTTGTTCTATTTGTTATATGAATGTGAACTGGTTTTCATTGCAGACTTTTCAAGGGTTGGAGCAAATGAGCATGCAATTCAAGATGAGAGGAGATTGAATTCCCAACAATTGAAAAGAATTTCCAAAGCCATTTTACGCATGAGTATTGCCATGGGAGTTGCTGGGGGTCTTGAGTCAGCAGGACCGGTTGCGGCGATGGCGCAATCAGATTGCGCAAACATGGACAATGAGACCAAGGACACATCATGGTTTTCATTTGCAATTGCGGTTTTGGTGATTTGCATGGGTACTGTGTTTTCAAAGCTGGCATTCAGAGCATGGAAGTGGATTGAAGAGAAAATCAAGAAACTGGAGAACCAAGTGCTGGGAGTTTCAAACGAGTTGGAGCAAGCCCAGATCCAGTTAGCCGATCACTATGAGTATGCAGCTGATTTGAATGGAAGAATAGAAGATTGCAACGCTTTGGCAACAGATGCGTCAAACAGAATTGACACGGTGATGGCTAGACAGACTGGTTTTGAACAGGAAACTATAGAAGGTTTCAATGCTCTGGAGGAAACCTCAAATTGCGTGAGGTATGGACTGATGGAGTTAGGTGGTTTTGTCAGGAACGCTAAACTGACAGCCGAGCAGTATCGACACATGCTAACGCAAGAAAGAGGAAACCTGGTGCTTTGGAATCATAGAAACCGTGCAGATTCAACTGACCCAATTGTACATCAGCAAGAAGATCACGAAGGAGGAGAAGAAGAAAGTCCGACAACAGATGTGGAGGACAACCAATCCAATAGACCTACTGGAATGGAAGCCCTCTTACAGAACATGAGGGTAGATCAAAATCAAGCTCTTGCAGCAGAACGCTGGCATGAGGCCAGCATGATTCAGCAGGCAATTTGTCTGGTGCTAGATTCCACTCTAACAGAGAGATTCAGTACAAGAATTTCAAATGAGATCAGAAACATATTCCAGAGGCTATATCGTCTTCACCGTAACAGAGGAGATGATGAACGCCGAGACAGGTTTAGGCTCTATGTCGAAGACATGCAGAGCTTGATGATTTGAAAGATTGAATTCGAAAACGTTTTCACTGGATGATGCAGAGTCAGACAGCAGAGCTGAAATTTGCGTTGAGAGGTGAAAATTTTGGAGTTGTGGAATGAGCCACGCTCAAACCACAAAGGAGGAGTGTGGAAAGTTGTGGAGCCCACTCACATGTGCCAGGATGACACGCACAAATCGATAAGAGAGTTGCATTTGTCATTTCACTTCATAGACTGACATGAACAGCATGTGCAGTTGAAACTTGTGAGACCCTTTTGGCACGAGTGAAAATAGACTGCAGCGTTTTCGCCTGAGTCTTTGCAATGAAAGATCAACTTGCTGGCTTGCTAGAGTCAATTCTTTTAGCAACATGGCAGATAGCCCTTCAAGAGGTGATTGCTCTGCGTTGAAGGAAATGGGATTCAAAGACGTTACTGAAGCTGCTGTGAAATGTCTTAATACAATTTGCATGTCCATGATGGCAAAGTTGGGGGAAACGGCTGGTCATGCAGTGCCCAGGTCATAAAACAGAGGGTTCCTGCCCATGAGCGTCGAAGTTGAATAACAAAGAGTCACGTGTGACTGTTGTTTATTCATGCAGTGATTTGTTGTCACAAATCAAGCGATTGGCATTCTTGGCTCAGGGCGGGAAGGGTGGGACCGGCCATATTTTTGTTCGCGAAACCCACCACCGTCCCCTTGCACCACCTTCAGCAGTTTCAGCTCTTCGGCTGGACATGCAGTGCCCAGGTCATAAAACAGAGAGTTCCTGCCCATGAGCGTCGAAGTTGAATAATGTAAGCTTATTAGGCGAGATTAGAGCATATCAGATCAGGTCAAATGAAATTGATAAACATGCACCTGGTTTTGGCAATTAGCTCAATTTGCGAGTTTTCCACTTGCAATCAGGCATGAGGGGTGAAAACCGAACAAAAAACATGTTTATCGGTTGCATGTCATGTGAAGTAGTAGTGACTTCAACTTGATGTTGCCCTGCTGAAGCTCCTTGACTGCGAGACATGAACCGATGCATATGCTGGCTCAAGAGCCTAGCTTGCGCACCAGCAATCCGCTGTGACAATGACATCTACATTTTAAAAACTTTTCAATGGACTGTTCCTTCGAAGTGCACCTAGCTACCAAACTAGGTGGTACATGTGACCAAAAAATGTATAGACACACAAACTCCTCCTAGAGTGACCTGCTACTACTTCACCAAGACCTTTCTGGTCTCTCAGATGCAGGGTGCCTGCGGGGATTACATGATATTTTTCAAACGATCCTGCTACTTAAGCAACTTTGTCGTAGAATCCTCCTCACACACCGCAAAACCCACGAGAAACACAAAGAAACAAAACAATGCACATTAAACAAGTATCCTGTGATAGCTGGCAACACACCAGCTTATTTTCAATCTCAGTGACCCCGCGCTGATTTCTTTTGCAGTGGTCTGGAGCCAAACTTACTTTGCATTCTCTTTTTTTCCTCCAAAGAACACGGACACCAGACTCCCGCGAGATCAAAGTCTTCTATTGCACAGCAACCTTTGACTTGAAACAATCCGTCAGGACGCACACGGCACGTGTGCACAGCCTGCGATTCTTTGCCTCTAGATGTCTCCGGACATCTTTGGACATCTTTGGATATCTTTGGACATCTATGGACATCTCTGGACATCTCTGGACTATAAACGGCTGGACCCCAGCACTGCCGGCAATGCCAGCACTCCCAATTGTTTGCTCCACGAGGCTCAGACATGTCCAAGGACGACGACTATGATTACCTCTTCAAGGTGAGATTAGAGACTTGAAAAAATGGGACATGTCCCTGAACAAGAGATCTTGCAACTTCAGATTACAATGTTGTCTATGACCAACATAGCAAAATCATGCAGTAAATCATAAAAAACTATTGAATTTGTGGCTGTTTGTATGGGGGTGAATTTGTTTCTGAATATTTTGATACCCCCTGGATTTGAAACAGGTTGTGCTCATTGGCGACTCCGGAGTTGGCAAGTCCAACCTTCTTTCCAGGCGCGACGAGTTGGCTTAGCCGCTTAGCCGCTTAGCCTCCCGAGGATCAACACATCAACAGCCCCAGCTGCCAGGTTCACACGCGACGAGTTCAATTTGGAGTCCAAATCCACTATTGGAGTGGAATTTGCCACCAAAAGCATCACAACCAATGGAAAGGCAGGACACACATCAACTTTCAACAAAGGTCGACACGACTCAACTCTCAAAGTGGCACAAAGAGTTCATGGCTGCGGGTGACAATCCCCCTGTCAGGTGATCAAGGCGCAGATTTGGGACACTGCTGGGCAGGAGCGTTACAGGGCCATCACCAGTGCGTGCGCCTAAAATTGACAGTGGTGTTTGTGGTCTTGCTGCAATTGCTTTAAGATGCTTTAAGTTTCAGAAGGAGGGTAGGGGTGGGGATAATTTCAGAATCTGCGAAAACTGATAATTGTCATTGTCCAAGCGAGCTGCAAAACAGATATTGATCATGTTCTGGGTCAGGTACTATAGAGGTGCAGTTGGAGCTTTGTTGGTGCTACTTGGATGCAACTTTGGGATGAAACTTCTTGTGGATCGATGATGATTGCTACCGTAGATAGTCAAGGCTTCAAGCGTTTTACCCTTGTGTTCTCCAAGGTACGACATTTCAAAGAGGGTCACTTTCGAGAACCTCGAGCGTTGGCTGCAGGCAGTTCTCCGTGGGGGTCGACCATTTAGAACTCACCCGGCTCAAGGCGCATTTGCCGCAGATTCCATGTCAGTGGAATGAATCCCGGCCCGGAATATTTCAGAAGTTTCGGACTTGGATTGAAACCAGTAGAAAGATGTCAGGAGCTTGAATTGACTTGGATAGCCGGACAGCGTTTCCCTTTTTCTACTTGGGTCAGGGACCCAAAGGCCTACAGCTGCGCAGCTGTTCTTTGCATCAACCTTTGATGCTATGCAAGACCCAGCCTGGTCACTGCCAATGGGCAAAAACAAAAGCCCTTCTCCAGTCCCATTTCCTATGCCGCCACGAGGTTTTGGTTTTAAGTGCACATGGACGCAAATGTGTCCAGTTTGGGCATGGCAGCAGACCATCATTGGAAGATACTTGGAGACTGTTGGAAACATCGAAGTACCCACCTTGTGCAAAAGATACAAGACCTGGCATACTTTGTGCCAACAAGTGTTGACTTCTACTGTAGGATATTTAAAGACACACCTATATATATATATACACATCATTATATATATATACATGATATAATCATAATTATAGTTATAGCATGTTATAACTTATAACTGTAACTGTAACTATAATTATATTAGATTATATATATATGTATATATATATAAATACATATTCAGTTCATCTCAGATTCACAGGTGGGCATGTTGTGGGTTTCACACCGCTGTCCACATCTGTCGCTGCAGGAGCTGCGGGATCATGCGGATCCTAACATTGCGGGGGGGCCCAGACATGGCCGGATTTCAGACCTGAGCCTCCAAACGAACCAAAGATGGAATTCAGCGTGGGTCGGTTGTCCTACCCAGCACACCATGAAGAATTTGGAGTTTGGATCTATACAACTCTCTAAGTTTGGTCTTTCGGATTCCAGAGATTTGTCTAAAGCAGCCAGAGTGCCACTCGTAGAAGATGTAGAAGTAGTGTTGACCAAGCTGCGAGTCCTCTGTATGATTCAAACTCCTTTCTCCAACTTCCGAATCAGTACTTTTTGGAATTCAACGTGGGGTGTGCATTTGGTGTTGTGGAACTCCAGCCAAAGATGAGAAAATACAGCTCTGAGGTCATCATGCTCGTGGGCAACAAAGGGTGGGGGACCCTGGAGATTTCGTTCCACCGAAGCCCTGAAGGATCTGTAGGCAGACATGAAAGGAGATGTCGGGCATGTCACAGGAGGTTCCAGGCATTTCAGATTGGGTTCTGCACAGGTTACAGAAGACATTTGGGGGCTTCATTTTTGCATTGACGTCTCTGAAAACAACTCATTCAGATAAGATGAGATGGGCAGTGTGTAGCTGCTTAGATTTGGTGATGGTATTCAATGTATGTCGGAGCGTATGTTTTTGTTTGTCTATTCCAACCTTTAGTGCAATCTTTCAGCCTTGCAAAGATAGCTGAACAGCAACAAGGGATTTGCGACTGCTTCAGGGACCTTCGACACTTGAGGGCAGTTGGGTAGCTGCACTCAGAGAATGACTATTTCGGATGTGGACTGCGAACTTTGAGTTTGCGTACTTCCGTTGAGTTCAGATTGAACATTGAAAATTATGTTTTGTGGCTTTGCATGGTTGAAAAAGTCGTGAAATAGTCATCACCTAAAAAGATTATGTTTTTGACTTTGAGGAAGTGCTGGGTACTGAGCACTCGCATATGTCCTGTTCAGTTCAGAATCATGAAGAAGTAGATATATATATATATAAGACAAAGTGAGCCAGCATATGTCGGCAGAACTTTCTAATGCAGCCTGTCCAAAAATATCCCAAACTGGGCAGTAAATCCTGCTTAGGCAGGATGAGGCGTTGGCTTTTGCAGAGAAGCATGGTCTTGCGTGCATCGAGGTCGGGTGATTCGGATAGACTTTTGTTTGTTTTGGCGGCTAGGGTTTGCCCCCTTGATTTTGAAGGAGCATAGGTCATAGGTGATTCCCAGGGCAGCTTATACCCAATGTCAGCCATCTTCTACCCAATGTTTCTTCTTGGATCGAGAAGGTTAAATTAGAGAGTGAGTTGCAATCGTTGATCAAAGTGCTGCTTGGCTTGCTTCTTGGTTCTCCAAATATCCAGCTTGCGTGCAGACTTCTGCCTTGGAAGCTACGAACGTGGAGACTGCCTTCATGAGGCCTTTGGCGTCCCGGAAAATCGATGAGGGTTGTGTGCAATATCAACCGGTTTCAGCAGAGCTTCACAATTTGCCACAGAGGCTAAGAGGTCAGAGCCGACAAACTGGAAAAGATAGGAATTTCTGACGGACTCGACAGACTTGTTGTGCAGCCAAGGCTTCTCTCCGAGATCTATACCCTGATGAGCAGCTTGTCATTAAAGAACTGGCCTCACCATCTGGCCTTGAGAGTAGTTCATCCATAGTTCATCCATAGTTCATCCATAGTTCATCCATAGTTCATCCATTCTGAATGTTCAGCAGCCCTGGAGAATGTTCAGCCTTGTCAAAGATACTGGATTGGGGGACTGGTTGTTGGATTTCTTTTGTAGATTCCATGATTTGCCACAGGAAAGAACAATACTAGAATGTGTCATTGTAGTTGGTGCTATTGCGAGAACCTTTTGAAGACAGTACAGCAACTGGACCTCGTACTATTTTCTCTTTTTGAGATTGAGCAAACCAGATGTGTGGTAAGGTCATGAGTTGGCAAGCATGTAGCCACGTTGCCATTCAGTGGAGCATTTGAGATGCTGAGCATCATTGGCAAGTTGATGCACCCACTGTGAGAGCCCAGCCTCCAATTCCGCAGCGGGCAAAGGCTCCCGGCAGATCACAGATGCTGACTCCTTCCGGAATGCTCAAACTGCGATTCAGGCTGGGCACCAAATTTTTGGCCTTTGAATCGTCTGGACATCTGCCACAGATTGCCACAGTGGTTTCTACGCAGTTTCAATCTGTTTCGTTCCGGTTTTCATTCATTTCATTCCGGTTTCAGGTGGAGGCAGTGCAAGCAACTCCAAGCCGTGGCGGCGGGGATTGCCGGGGATTGCCGGGGACGCCGGGCTGGGGCACATGGGAAATGGCTGTTGCTGGTGGCTTCTGACACTGCGCCAGGCTGCTGCAACTGAATGGCGGCCGGTGTCACCCGTCCGTTTGCCCAGATGCACCATGACCCACCATTACGCACCATGACGTACCTTTGTTTGGATCGAAGGCTTTTGAACGCTTTTGTTATCGGATGAGTATGCAAGGGTCCACCCAAGTTTAAGTCAACAATTGTTCACACTTCAGGCTCATGACACAATGCTTCGATGTCTGGTGGCCACGCCAAGTGCACACTTATTCCAAGGATTTAGATAGTGAGGAATGAGGACAAGTATGGACAAGCACTATGTCGTTTTCTTTGGCACCTATTCCCCAGTGTTACAGTAATTTTTCTTTGTCAAAGAGTAGCACTGTAGCCACTGCCCCTATTCTCCCTCGAAGAAGTCCGAAGTCTTGTGAACTATCGTTGAGGTTGTTGCAATAATGTGAGAAGGCGCATGTGCAGTTGTGCTGACAGCAGCAATGATTCACAGAGGGGCAACGTAAAGCATTTAGTTTGCACAAGCTAAGACATAATGAATTGAAGATTATCATGTGCCCTTTGAGTTCTTGAAATGCGACAAAAGGGGTCGAAGCTGCACCCACATTGGTGCTGCAGTGTCATGTCTACCTTCGGCCTTCGGCAGCGTGCTTTGTGGCAATATTCCAACTTCCAGGCAGTCAGTTTTTTCATGTTTTCCACGCTGACGAGACTCTGCTATGAAGCCAGGCTAGATATGGCAGGTGGAAGCAGCATAAGATACACCGGCATCTTCCTGCCTTTGCAGTTCTCGTGCTGTTGATGTCGGGCCTTTCTTACAGTTGAGCGAGTGGCTAGGACGATTATGATACTTCTAAGGTCCGCAGCATCAAGGGCACCAAGGTATGACGGAGTCTTGATCTATCTTTCAAAATTCCGATCAGCTGTCAAAGGGTGAATTGTGCCGCGCTCTGAAAAGCCCCCTTGTCTTGCACTTTCTAGAGAGTCAGTCTTTATGACTGCATTGTTTCAGAAAGCCTGCGAGACCGGCAAATGGCCTGAAACTGTCCCTGACCGTATGCGTGTTGAAAAAATGGGTAGAATCAATGGTGGGAAGTCTTCGGTTTTTTCATCCAATCCACAAAGAAACCTGGTTCAAATGATCCCCTCACAGACGGACTTGGTGCGCCACGATGCTAAGTTGTTCAGCCCAACACTATGCTTGTTCACAACTTTGGACCTACATGTCAAGCCCCTCGGAGCATATAGACAAGCAAGATATGATGTGTTCATCGTGTGAGGCTCGAAGGAGTTTCGCTTGCCCTGCTTCCACATCAAAGTCAAGTCTTTTGGATCAGCTGCAAGAAACAGCCTTTATCTGGAGCATTTGTTGTGAATGCTGTCCGAAATGATGGAGACATGAGTGGCTTTTGGGCCTCCACATGTGAGTGGTGCAGCTAGCTTTCTAAGCACAATCTTTCTGAACAATGCTGCATTGACGTTTCTGTGGCTGGTCTTCAAGCATGGAGAGTGTTGCGAATGCAGTCCCTCAGCCTATATGGAGGATGCAACAGTTGCACTATGTTTGAGTCAGACAGAATGCAGGCTTTAGATTTACGGTACGTAGAACCGACAAGCTTCTTAAATTGCACACTTGACTGATATTGAGATGACATGGCCTGAAGCTTCTCCCCTCACTCAAAGACTTCCTAAGATGAACTGATGAAATTATAGCTTTCAGCTACGTGTCAATTCTATCAGAGGTCTCTCTGGCCGCAAGTGCAGCTTCGCTGGTGCCTTCGGCAAGTGATTACAGAAATGGTCACCGGATTTGGTGAAGCGCAACAGCTTCCAACAGCTTGTGGGGTCCTGTGTTTGTCCAGGTTTTTCTTAGCGGGATTTGTGGCTAGAGTGGCAGCTTGTGATGTGCTTGAAAGGGGTCTGGACATCAACTTGTACCTGCCACATCCTGCCACAATAACATGATCACACACATATATATATATTTATAATTATACATGATAAGTATATATATGCTATATATATAATATATGCTATATATATATATATGATATATAATATATACTATATATATATATGATACATAATATATGCTATATATATATATGCTATATATATATATAGCATAATATATATATATATTTGTATGATATATATATATATATATGATACATATGTATGATATATGATATATCACATATTTACATAGTTCATTATCAAGACGAGAACAATGCTGCGTTTTTTCAATTTCTGTGGTGCCCCTTGCGCCCGTGTCAGGCGTTGGACGCCTCCACAGATGCTGTGGCACCTCTTTGGGCACAGCTGCAGCTCATTCTTTCCGCCGCCGCGCAGGCACGACGGGCATGGCGGGCACGGCGCGGGCACGGCGCGGGCACGGCACGGGCACGGCGCGGGCACGGGGGGCATGGGGTGTGTGTCCGGAGGTGTCTTGTGGCTGCGCATTGTGTGCATTGTGCGCATCGTGCGAAGTCCAGACATTGGGGACCTCCATGGTCCCCGACGACACCAACGACCTTCTGTAGTCATTTAAAGTCTCGGGAAGTCAATGAGTCACAGGGTGCTGCTGCGCCTGTGAAGGTCACTTCAGCCTTTTGGCTCCTCCTAGCTGAAGCACTTGGACAGCTAGGACGGGCTGCGCCTTGGCCTTCATTTCCTTTCCAGTTTTCATTGGAATCTTGCAGTCTCTTCCTGTGAATGTCTCGCGGCAAACCAGAATCAGAAGATACAAGTGCTTACTATTGCTTGGAAGACACATCCTGAACTAAAGTTGGATGTGCGAAGTCCTTGCAAGGTGCTGACCCACCCAAAGTTGGCCGTGGCTGTGATTGGAGTTCCAGTGGTGTCTGTTGCGTTGAATGTCGGTCGATGGTTTCTTGGAGAGAAACATGGGACAGCTGCAGGGTGTGTTGCGGGGTCAAAGGATTGAGATGTGCAATCTTTTCCAAGTTAGATATTGTTTGTTTTGTTTTGTTGGAAACAGGTCAGAAAGAGAGTGTTAACACACGAAACCCTGAGCTTTCTGAATCTGCCTTGGCTCAGATGGCATGAGCCAAGCAGTGCTGTTGCACAAAGTGCTCGACAGCGAGTGCTTGACGCCCACGCTAGT